GGGACCGTGCTCCTCCCTTCTCTGGTGGTCCAGTGGAGAGTGAACTAGAGTTCACTCTCGCAAGATCTGAGTGCAATGCTCCGACCGCGCGAGAGGAACCCGACGGAGCTGCTGATCTCCCTCACTGGCCCATGGAGGGAGGCACATAGCGCTGCCGCTGGGATTAGGGTGTGCCCAGGCACACCCGGCACACCCCGTGCGCACGCCTATGACTGCCACATGTGGATGTAGGTAATTACTCTTCCCTTTATATTTGTGCTAGATATGTGCAATTCGTTTCGAATGTAAATTCGGACGAATTTTGGCAATTTGGACATTCAGAGGCTTTCAAATGTCCGAATTGAAGTGCCAAAGTGCTTTGGATTTCTGAAAAGTGGCAAAACAAGAGAGGGAGGAAAAATTATGTGAATGATGACAGGAATCTAGACTAGTAAGCTAATTCCTGGCACTGGAAGCCCTATAGATGTGTAAATGGTTGTGGTGGCAGTCCGGGCACCTAACTCTACCTCTAGATGTGTAAGTGGTTGTGGGGGTTAGGGTTAGGGGTTAGGGAGCCCTGCAGATGTGTAAGTGGTTGTGGTGGCAAGAGAGTTATTCTTACGAATGTCCAAAGTCCTGAATTTCGGAAGTGCCGAACCAAAGTGTACAAGTCCCATATTGCCGAACCGAAGAGCTGAATTGCCAAGCCGAACTTTTTGACCATGCAAATCCCTAATTTGTGCTTCTTTCACATTGCCCACTTCATTCACAATAAATGGCATCATAGGAAACAGTGTTCAATTAAGAAGGGAAAGGAAATCATTAGCAATGATGACAAACCATGACACTTTAGATATTGGTGGAATACACTTTCCAATCCTAACCAGCATGTGTAATGTGTGTATGTTAGTATGTTAGTATGTTAGTATGTTAGTATATACAGAATATATGTAGGAAATCATTGGTTGTTGGGTGGGTGAAGCTTACTTTGTTGGGGTATACGTACGTACATATATACATACATAAAGTGCTCAAAAGTTTGCATACCCTGGCAGAAATTGTGAAATTTTGGCATTGATTTTGAAAATATGACGGATCATGCAAAAAAATTATTTTATTGAAGGATAATGATCGTATGAAGCAATAATGATAACATAAATCACCCAAATGGCACTCAAAAGTTTACACACAATTTAATGTTTGGCCTTGATACAGACACACACAGGTTGAAATGGCAATTAAACGTTAATTTCCCACATTTAAATTGCAATTAGTGTCTGTGTATAAATAGTCAATGAGTTTGTTAGCTCTCACGTAGATGCAGTGAGCAGGCCAGATACTGAACCATGGTGAGCAGAAAAGAACATGTGTAACAAGATAATGGAACTGTATAAAGATAGAAAAGGATATAAAAAGATATCCAAAGCCATGAAAATGCCAGTCAGTACTGTTCAATCCCTGAAGTGGAAAAACTGGGGATCTCTTGATACCAAGCCAAGGTCAGCTATACCACCTGCAAGAATTGGTGGCCTTAGACTACTATTACAATAGACTGCATGCTGTCATTGATGGTAAAGGGGGCAATACACAGTATTTAGAACTAAGAGTATGCAGACTTTTGCACAGGGATCATTTCATTTTTTTCTTTGTTGCCATGTTTTGTTTTATGGTTGTTCCATTCTGTTATAATCTACAGTTGAATATGAATCCAATAAAAAAAAAAAATGAAATGTGTTTTGCTTGCTCACTCAGGTTTTCTTTAAAAATGGTACTTGTATTACCAATTTTCCAAGGGTATGCAAACATTTGAGAACAATTATATATATGTTGTTGGATGCAAGGAGCTATGTGATTGGGTGTGATGTTAATTGTAGATGACTAGGTAAGAAGGAATATGTAAACAGGGAGGGGAGTAAGATGTGACAGGTGGGTGAGTGTGTCTGGGTTGATATATAAAAGCAAAAGCAAGTGGGGTATACTAAAACATATAATTTAAAAAAAAAGCCAATTTCAATACGTTTGGGCAGCTCTACAACATTTCGACTGGCATAAACTCCTTAGTGATAAAAACTCTGAGGATAAATGGAAACTATTCAAACAAATATTAGAAAGGTACATTTCTCAGTATGTGTCGTTGGGTAATACATATAAAAGAAACAAATTAAAACCAATGTGGCTTAGCAGAGAAGTAAAACAAGAGATTAAAAATAAGAAAAGGGCATTTAAAGCATTTAAATCAGAAAAACCAGAGGCATCCTATTTAAGATATAAGGAAGCCAATAACACTTGCAAAAAGGTAATTGAAGTGGCTAAACTAGAAAATGAGAAATTGATAGCCAAAGAATGCAAAACCAACCCCCCAATTTTTTTTTTAAGTACACCTATTCTAAAAAACACAAAATGAAAGTGTAGGTACACTGGAAACAGAGTTGGTTTATTAGCCAATTTATTAGGAAAAAGCAGAAATTTTAAATAAATTTTTCTTCAGTATATATTAAAGGACCACTCTAGGCACCCAGACCACTTCAGCTTAATGAAGTGGTCTGGGTGCCAGGTCCTTCTAGGGTTAACCCATTTTTTCATAATTATAGCAGTTTCAGTGAAACTGCTATAATTATGAATGGGTTAAGCCTTCCCCCTAATCCTCTAGTGGCTGTCTTATTGACAGCCACTAGAGGCGCTTGCGTGCTTCTCACTGTGAAAATCACAGTGAGAGCACGCCAGCGTCCATAGGAAAGCATTGTAAATGCTTTCCTATGAGACCGGCTGAATGCGCGCGCAGCTCTTGCCGCGCGTGCGCATTCAGCCGGCGGGGCGTAACGGAGGCGGAGAGGAGGCAGAGAGCTCTCCGCCCAGCGCTGGAAAAAGGTAAGTTTTTACCCCTTTCCCCCTTCCAGAGCCGGGCGGGAGGGGGACCCTGAGGGTGGGGGCACCCTCAGGGCACTATAGTGCCAGGAAAACGAGTATGTTTTCCTGGCACTATAGTGGTCCTTTAATGAGGATCCTATGGCAAGAGATATGCAAATGATTGCTGCAAAAAACTTACAGATAACTTGTGATTGGATAACTCAAGACAAGGTTCTACAGCTATTAAAGAAAATTAATGTAAATAAAGCTCCGGGGCCTGATGGTATTCACCCACGAGTACTTAAGGAGCTAAATGGGGAAATAAGTGAACCTCGGTATTTAATTTTTCAAAATTCTTTTCTTTCAGGTATTGTACCAGAGGATTGGAGGAAGGCAGATGTTGTTCCTTTATTTAAAAAGGGTTCAAAATCCTTGCCTGGAAATTATAGACCTGTGAGCTTAACTTATGTTACTGGGAAAATATTTGAAGGGCTATTAAGGGATAATATTCAGGAATTCATTGGGAAGAACTTTGTTATTAGCAATAATCAGCATGGTTTTATGAAACATAGGTCATGTCAAACTAACCTAATTGAATTCTATGAAGAAGTCAAGTAGAACTGGTTTAATGAGCATACAGGTCTTTCTTATATACACATTTTCCCACAACGTTACCACCCACGTGGACCTTGTGGAACACAGGACACAAAGTTATAACAGCCAATCAACACAGTACAGTCAGACACTCCCAGCTAATGCACTCAAACCTTCCCCTCTGCCTGTGATACAATTACTAAACACGATGGGCTAACTTAATTACCGCAGGCAGAAAATATACAGTTTTACCCAAAACACAGTAACACCCCAAAACAATGACATATCCCCATAAATCATACATCCCTGGATAGCTCTGATCTGGGCGAACAACATATCCAGAAATCACCCAGATCAGAGCAGGGGTTCCCAAATTCCACAGAAGTCATATTTGACCGACCGCAAGCATGGCTTTCATGCCCAAAAGAGTTCCACAGATATAGGCTTTGCGGTCGGTCTATCTTCTCCTTCAAATAAAGTACAAATTGCACGAACGGATCTGTTTGTGCATAGTTTCATTGTGATGGTCTCGTTCGTTAGTTCATCCTCCTAGAATAGCGCTCCATTATGCTCATTAAACCAGTTTTACTTGACCGTCAACTCGCAGCCTTGACTCGTGTTTGGAGGGGACAGCTATAATCACTACTATGCTCTTCATACTCCTTTAGCTTCACTGAGCTCTTGTAAGGGCTTGTTCCTCTTCCTGCTTCACTCTCTGGGGAAAGAGGCTCACCCACTGGAACTTGGAACCTTGTTGTAGGTCCAGGGTGGGTCGGAGACAGGGAGACCCCAACCAAGCTGCGGCAGTTCGTGGGGTCCCTGGTGGTTATGGTGTCTTTAGCCGAACGCAAGGAAGGTAGAAGTCTCAGCTGTGTTTGTGGAAATAGTAGCTGAAAACAGTTCCAGGCACTCCACGACAAAACACTGCGGTGCGCTTTGGCTAAACCACATGTTCGTTCATACGAACGCCGGCCACCCAGCCGTTCATCAATTAAGCTGCGGTTAACCACAGCTTCTGGGTGGTTAACGAGCAGCAAACTCCACAGGCATGGTGGTCGGTTGTTCGGTGGTTTGTTCGGTAAATTGAACTTACCGAACTACGTAGGGAAAAAGGCACGAACAAGCCTTTTTGCAGTCACAGTGTTAGCCATGGGCCATAGTCATAGGGCAGGAGGCTGGCAATCAGGCTCCTCCAAAAGCCAGGGGCAAAGGGTAGTTTGTCACATAAACATTTGGGAATATGTGACAGGGGAGTTTAACTAAATGGGGACTGGTAAGAAAGACAGGTGGGTTCACTTTACAATCACACATAATAAACTAGTTGAGAAGATGCAAAAAATTCCACAATGGATCCAGAGTAAATCCAGAATTTCATGTCACAGGCCTTCCAACTACTCTGATTTTGGAGGGCAGTCCCTATTTTAGGGTTATGTCTACATCACAGATATGCAGGGTTAGTAAAGAGCTTAGCTATATCACAGATATACAGGGTTAGTAAAGAGCTATATCACAGATATACAGGGTTAGTAAAGAGCTGAGCTATATCACAGATTGACAGTGTTTGTAAAGAGCAAATGAGCAAAGTTTCTTGAGTAGGTAAAAAACTCACCTTTGAATGAGCAAAGAAACTTTGCTCATTCAAAGGTGAGTTTTTTTACCTACTCACAGATTTCCATCTGACCATTTGTCGACATTCTACACTATTGGAGGTTTTCTTGTCTTTTCCATGTATCTACATATCTACAAGTGAATCAAGATATCTCCAACACAAGAAGCCTCAGATACTCATTTGGACTTTATATACACTCAAGAATTATACAGGTTGATTTACTATTTGGGACTTTTTATTATATCTATTTATTCATTTTATATTACTTCTCTGTCCCCATAGCGCAACCTATATACCATTTTTTGTCTACTAGTAAAGAGCTGAGCTATATCACAGATATACAGGGTTAGTAAAGAGCTGAGCTATATCACAGATATACAGGGTTAGTAAAGAGCTGAGCTATATCCCAGATATACAGGGTTAGTAAAGAGCTATATCCCAGATATACAGGGTTAGTAAAGAGCTATATCACAGATATACATGGTTAGTAAAGAACTGAGCTATATCACATATATACAGGGTTAGTAAAGAGCTATATCACAGATATACAGGGTTAATAAAGAGCTATATCACAGATATACAGGGCTAGTAAAGAGCTATATCACAGATATACAGGGCTAGTAAAGAGCTATATCACAGATATACAGGGTTAGTAAAGAGCTGAGCTATATCACAGATGTACATGGTTAATAAATAGCGGAGCTATTTCACAAATCTATAGATTAGGTAAAGAGGTCATAAAATATGTCTTTTAACAGAGAGTGTTTTGGATCCAAATTGGAGGTGTCTGGAGCCTTAAGCCATGTCACAGATTTAACACGTTAGGCGTATGGTTACAAAGTGTGCATTATCATGTATATTACCAACTGCCTTTCATTTAATTTGTTATAATATAAATCAAGGTTTACTTGTCATGAGATGCTACAATCACTTTAAACATAATAATAAAGTATGCTGTGTTCAATACTTACACACTTCCCAATTTAAAAAAAAAAGAGACAGATCCAGGTGTTCTGCTCATTAGGCAGGATATACATGTTTCATACAATTACTTCAAATACTGTATAGCTTTTGCTTTGCCCATCTAGAAATTCTTGCTGCCTCATTGGAGCTTGTCAACAGACATCACAAAGTCCAGAAAGTCAAGAGGAACAAAAGAACTGACTCGATACAAAAACATTTTGACGCCCTATTTTTCACAAGAGCTGTAATGGGCTTAACGTGATTTTCAAAATAAAAATATTATAATATGGAGTTTTCAACGGTGTTTGCGGAAGATTAGGTGTTTGTTGACAGGCCACTGACAAATTGTTATTACTTCTCAAATGGGTGTTAAAACGTCCTTTGGAAAAAGCAATTAACATAAATTCTGTCACTCTTATTAAAGAGGTTTATTTCAACCTCGCTTCACTCTGTAAACCTGACAGCAAAACCTCCTGCCCCAGCTGCACTAGTATTGTATTCTTGTCAAGGTAGAATTCATGCTTTTAGATAAAAATGAACATTTCTGCCTACATTTCATCACTATATTGTCACATCTTCCTTTGTATCAGGTCATGTTGCATACCAAGCTTTATGGAACATCTTTGCAAAGGTAACTGTTTGTTTAAACAAACTTAGTTGGTCACCTGTTGAGCATCGCATAACAAAAAGTTTATATGTGAACTTTCTTCCACTAGAAACTGGAACAATCTAAAAGTAACTAAACTACTGGGAAGATATTTAGATGTTTGAATATTTGTAATGCATTGCAAAATGCAGAAAAAACAGTAAAATTATGAGTAACATAGTATTTTTTATTTTTGCTATGAAATTATATGTATTAAACTTGGAGATTTGTTTTGTTCTGAAATGCAGTTTGTCCAAATTTGGGCAGATGATTATCAGTTGAATTTCCAAACCAAAATGTAGCCAAATCACAAACCAACCAAAACACAAACAGAGCATGTTTGTCTATTTTTTATTTATTTTTTTATTTTATTTATGATTTTGAATTCCAACCCTGGCACAAAAAAAAAAAAAGAGGAGGATTTATGGAAAAACAATGATGACTGATGGCTAGGTGAAAGTCACTAAATGTTAATTTTATTCACAGATAAGTGACCAACAAAGGGAGAAAGGAGGTGCGGTAAAAATTAACACACACACAATGTATTTTAAAAATGTGTAAATATTATAAAATGTTAATTTGGCCGCCCCCTAAAAAAAAAAAAAAAATGTTTCTCAAAAAAATAGTTTAGCTAAACCGAATTTTCTTGCTGTGCACAAGTCTAACGTGCATAGGTAGGAGTAGTGGGAATTTGAACTCAGGGCTTAATTTTATGTGTGAGTTTGCATTTGGATTCAATTGCCAATCTATGTTGAGGATGCAGGTTTGAAGACATGTACTTTTTTCAAACCTGTGGATGTTAACAGCTACATTGGGGAGAATAGCTGTAATTTCTCCCCATGGTTGCTGAATGCACCCAAAGCGCAACTGCTCAGGATAAGGAGGAATTGCACGGAGGAATGTAAATTCTAAGAACAATCCCACAAAATTATGAAAGATTTTAGAGAGAAGGGATATAACAAGACATTGTTGGGGAAAGCCCTTGAAGAAGTCAAAATAAAGGACAGAAAAGATCTAATGAAATATAACACTAAAAATAAAGTTGAACCACAAACAATAGGACTTATATGTGACTATAATTGTAAAAGTAAAGAATTTAGAAAAATAGTCTCTAAGTATTGGCCAATTTTAAGAAATGACCCCCTCCTTAATAGTATTCTTCCGGAGAAGCCTAAGATTGTTTATAGAGGAGTAAAGAATTTAAGAAACACTTTAACATCTAACCATATACCCCTAAAAAGATGTAATAGGGACTTTTTCAACGAAACAAAATGGTTTTATGGTTGTGGACACTGTGGCGCGTGCAAGAACTCAAAAAGTAAGAAAAGACTAGTAAAAGTATTCTCACATCCTCAAAATAAAAAAGTCATGTTTAAGATCAACGAGCTAATTACTTGTCAGTCCACGAGAGTTATTTATCTCTTGATATGCCCATGTGGACTTGTATATGTAGGGCGCACCAAAAGAAAGTTGCACATTAGGAACATTAGGAACAACTATGAAAAGCACAGTGTCTCCTTACATTTTAAAAACAAACATAATAGCGATCCCACCCTGTTAGAATTCCATGCAATTCAGAGGGTATCACCCAATTGGAGAGGGGGAGATTTTATTAAAAAATTAGGCCAAAGGGAGATGCAATGGATTTTTAACCTGAATACCATGCAGCCTAATGGTCTCAATGATGATTTTGAGTTATGCCATTTTTTAACTTAAATTATTTTTTTTTATTAGTATGTTTCATACATTTTAAATATTTACTCTACGGCCATACCAGTCTGAAAATGCCTGATCTCGTCAGATCTCAGAAGCTGGAGACCAGCTAGGAACCTACTATTTATATATTTTTTTATATATATATTTTAATATTGACATCATCATTGAACATAAGCTGCTGACACAATAGAGACCTATTCAATAATAATCAGCATTTCTCCTAAAAGAGCATACTCCTATTCACCACCTGTCTTTATGCATGTACTGTCACTTTGAATGAAAAACACTAGATGTTTTTATTTTTTGATATGTAAATTTTATGAATTAACTTGTAAGCAATATACAATAATACTATCCCCCTTTCTCCCTTCATTTTTTCATTTTTTCGTTTATATATCGCTCAAATTGACCATCTGGTTTGTAAATAGGAACGGACTTGGTTGAAGGAAGGGCATTTTGCCCAACTTCAAAATGGACGATATGGAACTGTGAGCCCTACATTGAAAAACACACCCAATTTGTGATGCGGCACGTGATGCTTCGAGTCACGTGACTTGCTCCGAAACCGGAGCATTCTCATTACCAGGCCCGGACTGGCCATCGGGCATACCGGGCAAATGCCCAGTGGGTCGCGATGGCCGTGGGGCCGAGGCCGGCAGGGAGATCACAGGATCTCCCCTGCCAGCCCGTGCAGGGCCAGCGCTACCCGAGCGCCAGCCCTGATGTGTGCCTCCATGGGCCGGTGGGGAGATCAAAGATCTCCCGCACTGGCCCAGAGGCTGTTACATGCGGCTGCAGGCTGGGGAGGGAGGGAGGCAGGAGAGAGGACCGGCGGAGCTCTAACCAGCAGCTCCGCCCGGTCCTCTCGCGGGATTCTGAGCGTTGCCGCGGTTACCAGGCTAGAGTTCACTCTCACCACTGGACCACCAGGGAATGCAGCATGGTCCCCCCTCATGACAACACGGCTCCCCCCCTCCCAGGCTAAAGGTAAGAAGGGGGGGGGCAGAACTTTTTTTTATTTTTTATTATTAATAAAAAAAATATATATTTAAAGTAATTTCCCTAACAGCCCCCCAGACACACACACAGCCCCCAGACACACACACACACAGCACCCCCAGACACACACACACAGCACCCCCAGACACATACACACACACACAGCACCCCCCAGACACACCCAGACACACACAACACCCAGACAAACACACAGCACACCCACACACAAAGCACCCAGACACACACACAGCACCCAGACACACACACAGCACCCAGACACACACACACAGCACCCCACAGACACACACAGCACCCCCAGATGCACACAACACCCTCAGACAGACAGCACCCTCACTCCCACACATATACAGCACATATATATTATATAAAATAACCCTCAGTTAGTTAACAGACAAATAAAATTAGAAACCCAGAATGTGACGGCAGATAAAAACACCCTCACACACAGCACCCCTCTTACACAAACACGCTGCGCACCTCACACATACAATACGTCCAAATATATTTTTTATATATATATATATATACATATATACACACAAAAATCAAAACTGAGGATGCACTCACAGGACTTGGTTAAAGTGAAAAAAAGGGACTTTTAATTATTCCATGTGAAATGTACAGAAAAATCAATTTTCCATTCACATGGAATAATTAAAAGTCCCTTTTTTCACTTAAACCTCGGTATTCAGGTTTAATTGCCGTTTTGGCACCAGCA